TTAGGTGTATTCAGCACTAGCAGTTCTGTAAAGAAAGGTGTATGCCTCCCAAAATGGCTGCGATGATTATGTGATGTCCCTTCCTCAGATGCAATATCCTAAAATCCCAGGTAAGTCTTTCAAATCACTCAAAAGAGCAACAACTTCACCAAAAGTCACCCCACCCCAGTGAATATAACCTTCACATGATATGATAGTTCTGACCACTCAGCATCAAATCTGAATGCCAAAACCCTTGTCCAAAAGCACAGCAGTAACCCCTAAACTTGCTACTTTGCCCAAATTCTCGCACTGTAACTACATTACATTCCACTATTTATCACCATCCCTCACCTACCAGCTAGTTCAACTGAAAACCAAAACATGTTCTTCACTTCCTTTTGATAAAATGGTGCACAGCATTACTCATACTGCTAAGTAAGTGCCACACCTCAGGCCAGCAGCAGCTGCAATTCCGTGGTAAATGATGTACACACCTGAGGTTATGTACTCAGCAACCTTTGTGAAGGCACTCTGGGATCCATCTCAAACACAATGGGAATCCACTGGGATGAAAAGCCCTTTCTAAACCTAAGATCCCCATCATTCAGCCAGAGCAATGGATATTGGCAAAACATGTTTAACTTTAAAATAACATTTGTTCAGCAAAGATAGGCTAAGGGTCCATCTAATTTACAGAACTATACTCCATAATCCGTAAGCATTAAATCTTTCATTTCTCGAAACTGATGTGCAATCTTGTAAATCTTACAAGTTCCTTTTGTCTGCAAGCGTCTTCAGTATTTCTCTCAGATGCTCTGCATGTAGGAGTATGACAAATTGATAACCCCTCCACGAATAAATGAAGAAGCATCTTGAGAGCTAGTAAAATGTGGAGAAAATCGTGCTCTGAATTCCTTACTCATGGAAAACACTGACCAAACTCTGACATCAAGGAAAGCCTGAATTTCACCCAAGATCCCTACAATACAATTGTCCAAGCAATTTGTGTGAAAGGAATGCCCTAAAGCTATAAATGGAAACTACTCCCTGCACAACTTTATCTTGCCAGAAAGCAAAGCACATGGAACATTCAGCACAAACGACTTTTGCAGATCTACAGACCAATGAGGCTAAAAAGTCAGGTCAAGACTGAGCAGGAAAGATAAAACAGCTTCAGTATCTAACATTTGATGACAGTAAGACCCAGGATCATAGAGAGGAGTTTTTGCAAAGGAGGAGCAAGCAGAAATACAATGGAACAATTGCTTAAGAACTACAAAAGCACTAGCCAGCCATGCAGGTAACAAGGACATGACTGAGTTTGAGGTAAACATTACTAATGTACTTAATACAGGCTTTGAAGAAGGTGGTAGCAGGCTTTTATAATGGCCCTGGCTCATATTAACATCTACTGTAGCTGATGTAATGCGCTACCTGGAAAGGGACAGAAACTAACAAGCTGCCAAGATGACAAAAAAAAAGATCACTTTCAGGTGCCAATAATCTTAAATCCTTTCACAAGCCTCTCCCAATACCTTTCTTCTGTATTTAGATCTAAGCTCAAAATCCAGAACTCTATCTGCAGCCATTTTTCAATTATCTTTCATGAATAAAATATTCAGAAGTGACCTATGATTTCAGAAAACAAAATCTCTGAGAACACACTCGGATATCCAAGGGCTAACTGGAACTGTTGTGTACAACTTACACTGATACCTCTTGCTCACTGCTCCAAATATGCTATTTTGGCCTCATGTCTAAATGAGGGTTTAGAACTCTGATTTTAAGGGGACGTGGCTTAAAGATTTACAGCAGTTAGGCTGAAGGACATAAAAAAAAATACTTTGTGGGGTTTGAAGTCTGCATTTGGCTTTTGGGAAAGAACCAAATTCGAAGGCAAAGAAGAAGTGATGAAAAAAAGTAAGGGTTTCCTCTAAGGTGCAAGGCTTTAAAAAATTGCAAATAATATATAACCACCCACACTAAAATATCTGACGTCAGTAAATACATGTATGTACTCAAAGACTACAGCCATGTAGTTAAGCTTTCTTCTGTCCTATATTTCACCCCTAAATGAAAATGATCCTCTCTTCTGTCAGTTCACAAAAGGAGAGTGCCCCTGAAGAACTACAGGTACACATATATTCAGCATAATACATTTTTAGTGCTTAGGATATGAGGCTTATTTGGCTGTAACTTTGTGACTACCAAGGAAACTGATTTAGTTCAACTAACGGAAAACAGTTTTTGTATGTTCATTCTTCTTCCATAACTTCCATTATTAGTAGCATTATTATTATTACCTTATAAATATTCAGGTTCCTGAGTTCAATAATGTAGAATGTGTATTTCTTCATGCCAAAATATTTTCCAGGTGATGCTAGTCTATGTGCTGGAGTCTACCCCAGTCAAGCATCCTCATTCAGGTTACTCCAACCACATTTATCCAGTGACACTCATGATCAACCTGAGACACCTGATCACACCGTCTCCTAAAGCACGGCATGAAAACTCAACTTCAGAACTGACGAAACCCAAGAGATGAAGGCCAAATTCTCACCACAAGAGATGAGGGAGAGCAGTTCTGAGCTGAAGGGCCATTGAGTTCAGTATGATGGGAATGCAACAAGTGCACTGAAGGGTCAAGAGGTGCCACTGACTGAAGGGAAGCAGATGTTTGGCAACAGGATTCCAACTAAGTGTTGATTATAATTTTGACTTTTCAACAAGAAGATGGCTGTCTGAAGTGCTCAGAATAGTCTATTTAATTGTGTTCTGACTCCAGAAACTCCAAGAAGGAAGAACAGCTAATGAAACAACTTAAAGCCTTCAACAGAAATTTTTACCTTTTGTTTTTTTAGGCAACAAGATTTGCTTCCCCTTCTAACACTACTATCCGTACACTGGAATGAACATTGTCAGAGTAATCAGTAATTCTACTGAAGACTACTAAAGAAAAGATTAAATGAAGGTGAGACCTGTTAGAAGAGACCTTTGCCACTCACACATAGTTGTGAGGAACTACTGGTATCCCTGTAACATGAGAAGTGGAAAGGGCCTGAGCGTTGTACTCAGCCAGGTGTGAGTGACAGAAATACTCAGACACTGTCCCTACACTGCATCTCAGCTTCTCACTATTAATCCTTGATCTTTTTGAAAGCATGTATTATAACAGAATGAATACAGGAGCCTGTACCTAAATCTGACCACTAGCTTCACAAGGGGGAAAAAAAAACCATAATCAAATCACGAGAAAAGATGCCTCATGAAAGGGAAGCAGTATATATTTCAATCAGTACTTGGAAATACTTTTAAACTGCCTTTTGCCATGTAACTTATTCAACAAAGAGTTAGGCTTTAACATAGACAGATCCTAAAAGAGCAAGGATACGTTTTTCTTTCCCTAACTCATTTCCTTAGATCTTGATCTCTGGAACAGATGAAAATAAAGCTTTTTGGAAAACGTAATTCTGTAAGTTGACAGCTCTATTCCAGATGACTATATATCAAATGGCACTGCAAACAAGCACCATAATCAGCAACAGATCAGTCAACTGTTTCGGTGTCAGAACTTCAATTCCAAAATTATCTCCTTCGTAACACGAGGCACACAAGGGGATCGAATTGTAAAAGTAAGAGTGAAAATAAACACGGGTATTATCAAAATGAAACACTATAATACAGAGCTCCCAGGGAATGAAAAAAAAAAAGTAAAGCAAAATTATAATGAAAGCCCTCACATTTGCAGCTATTTGTCTATCTTACAAGTAAAACACATCTTTGTTTTGGGGAAGTATGCGTTACATTTGAGGAAATACACCAACTTTAATTTTTAAAACCCCAAGTATTCTTCTAACCCAGAAAAAACAGGTCTGAATCACCCATTTTTGTCTTCCAAAATCCCCCAACTGCAGGTAGCTCTCCAAAACGAAGCCAAATCCCACACCTCTTTAACAGATTTTAGTCAGTCCTCATTTGGACTAACTCCTATAGGCTTGCTAGTTCTCACCTCCTCCAATCCTTTTTACCACTACTTCAAGTGAGCAACAGTTTTCCAAGGCTTTTCAGGGTGCAGATATGGCCAGACCTGAGCAGACTCCCATGCAGAACAGACACACCTAAGAAATGCAGGTGAAGTAGTCACCTGTGCAGGGCCACAGTGTAGCACAGGTGTAGCTCTGCTTCTCAGAGCAAAGCTTTCAGAAGCACCTGGAAAACCTCCCTGATCATTTTCGACTTCAGATTTGAAGATGTCCACCCAGAGAGATCAAATTAAAACCAGGGAAATCTCTCTGACAACTGGCTAGGCTGCACTATTGTCAGGTACAATCAGCTTGCTTGGTTGGGTAAATGAAACGCCCTGGAACATTTCCCATACTGCCATTTTACCTTCCTCTCTCCCCCTCCCCCCCCTTTTTTTCCCCCTGCTTAATGGAAGATTATCAGTCTCTGGAATCCAAAACACCATTAACAGCTCAATGTTAGTTATGTCAGTACACAAACAGTTAAAAAACTAAATACATTCTATATCCGATTTACTGATCTACTGAATTCAAATTCTTTAGTTATTCCTCAAATAAAATAATCTTCAAATGACGTAAGGAACAACTTTTATGCACCATCAATCTTTCCTAATGAAGTTTGAAGCAATATACCCTTCCACTGCATAAGAGAGTATGAGAATCCTAATGCAAACTTCTGTTAGATACTAAGCTGTGGACAATGTCAGCAGATGTCTCCGTGCAAATTTTGTCCTTGCAATGATAAATTATGCTGCTCGCAAAGATTTTAAAGAAGACAACCTACTTTTTCACTTGTTTCTCTTACCAGCTAACACTGTATAGTCAATAGAGTGGGGGGAATCCCCAGTCTTCTGTCCACCTGCACTCAGAATGACTAAATCCTTAAAATACACATTTCCTACCAATATGCAAAATGCCTCTGTCAGATAAAACGCTGCATTAAAATGTGTTTTCAAACTCGTAACCTACTGCACTGTACAACAAAGGAGCACTTACTGCCATTGTCGTCAGAATCTTCACTGCTGCTAGGAAGCCGTCGTCGTTTCATGATCTCCCCGGGAAACAGCAGGCAGCCTGCAAAGCAATGAGACAGCACTTAACCCAAGATAATAATACAGAGTTATCAAATTGTGTTTCTGATGGCATTCGAGGATTTACAGCACACAAAGGAAAACAAACAACTTTAAACAGCATCTGAAATATGAACAGTGATTTTCTCAGGGACGCTTAATTAGGCAGTCATCAGATGAGCAAGTGAACAAGATTGGAGAGTATCAATGACAGCCCCACCAACATTTTCACCCCTAAGCAAGAGCATATTTTGTTCTGAGAGGTCTTAAAATCACTAAATAGCTGCAGTCAATGTGCTTGACTTCCCCTGCCCATTCTGACACTGGATTTGTAATACAATAACATTTGTACTGCTTGTGTAAATATTTGCTTTGGCTAATATGGTACTGGAACCATTTTATTCCTGTTTAAAGTGCCAGATTTACAAAATCAAAGTTTAAAGTCATACACATATATATGTGTGTGTATTTTTATATATATACATATGAAAGAAGTATCAGCAGTAGCCAGCCAAGTTTTCCCACATTAACTAAACATGCATCACCTATGCGTTGGAAAGCACCACCCTCACCAGTGAAAGTGTTAAATCCTCCTGCAGGCACATGCCCAACACTGTTCTTCAGGAGTCAGACCACCAACTGACTGCACAGAAGCTCCTATAAACTGCCAGACTTCTACCAATACTGAGCTCAACTGCACATGAGCCAGTGATGCAAAGACAAAAAGTTCAGTATCTTTTTAACTGCTATTCACAGGGTGTTGGTATTTTCACAAGTATTCTCTGTGGGATGAAATCAAATTCAGAAAAATTAAGCTGTAAATAGCTAGTGCACATTTACATGTATAAAGCTATAAAAACGTGTAAGCTGAAGAGCAGAAAAAACATGACAAGTGTAGAACAGCACCTCCACCATGAGTTAAAATGACAAGGATTCTAGAAGCAGATCAAACCCCTTGATTCTGCGTTTACCACTTATCAATCACAGTATCAATAAGGTGAGTGTTCTGCTAGCAGCAGAGGCACAGATTTGGAAACCATGATGCTGAAATACTTCTTTGCTTCTAGGTATGTGCAGAAAATCTAACCTCATTTTCACATGAGCTGAGATTTCTTAGAAAGCCTTCAACAAAACTCTTTTCACTGAGCCTTCCTTTTTTACATTATACTTGCAAACAGATGTGGGGGAACGCCTCCCTCCCAGAGAGTTACCTTCAGGAGTGGGATTTAACATGGTTGTCTGTGAAACTTTTAACAGTTTTGAGCTGCAAACTTCGCTCACTGAAGGTAAACTGAATGGTTCACTTCACCAAAACCTTTTGTTACCATTTCACAGAGTAGAAGTTCGCAGATAATGTCTAACACCAGAGAATAAAGAATCATAAATGACAACCTCTTACAGTGCTAGAATTCTCTCCAAAAGAACTGCTTTGAAGCAGACCAGAACTCTGTGTGTATGGCAGACAGAAATGCTGCCAATGAATAACACACAGATCACCCTGGACCATCAAAGTCATCTGAATATATGTCTGGTATAAATGTAGTAGGTCCAGAGCCAAGTTCTGACAAACACGTATCACAGAAAGCCAACATTCAGGTCTAGAGGAGGCCAAGACTAAAAAAATCAATTAGCTGCTACAAGGCCAAGGATATGCAAGAAAATAAAAAAATAAGTTATCTCAAAAATGTAGCTGGGATATTCCTGGTCAAAAATCTTCATTTCTTGGTTTATTCCTCCATGGTCTGAAAAGTACTATGCATCCTAATGCAAAGTAGCGTAGTGTATACACACTGAGACACACTCATGACCTTGCAAGGAGCAAGAAAATTTGACATCCTGCTCCTCCACATCTTTCTGGATATATGTGTTTTGAGTTCATCTTTTCCCATCCCTACTTTCTGCTAACTCACAAAGTAAGAGAAGACCAGGAAGCTTCTCCTTCCTACCTGGTATTTAAAAAAATCCCCAAGAAACTAAACAGTTTTGTTGTTGGTATAGTTTAAAGGAAAGAGTGGTATCCACACCTCACAGTCCAAACACTCAATAGTTCTGCAGGAAAATAGAGAAGACAGAACAGAAGCCACTTTTTCTGCAGTACAGAATATTAGGTAAGACAGCTCATTTCCTTGTCCACTCTGGTCAGGTCTCTGAAGTTGGCCTGTGAAAAGCCTGTGTTCTCAAAAATAACAGTCAAAGAAATACACCATCTGATGAAACTTCTGTGAGATTCCTTTATAGAAGCTGGGGGGGGGGGGGGGGGGGGGGAGTTAAAATCCAGGGATCTCATTTTCTCATCTTTGAACCTGAGTTTACAGGGAGCTAAATCACAGATGGAAAAAGCAGCATTCGGCTTCTTAGAGCAAGTCTCAAACCTCCCAAGATCAATGCCCTGGAACTTTTGCCATTATAATAAAACAGCTCTTTTCAACTTCTACAACTTCTAAAATAATTTTACACTGTTCCCACCAGATGTTCATATCCACAGCTCAGAAAACACATTCTGGAGATAACACTACAACACCTAATAAGAACTACAACCACACAGATTGAAATGCTGCTGTCCTTTAGGGTATCACAGTGCCTGTAGCTCAAAGACTACTGGCTTCTACTGGGTGATGGTGACCTCAAAGTCACCCAAGAACTACATTTGAAATAAACCCAGTGACGGTTAGGTGCAGACTGAAGGTACAGGCTTTCCTTGCTCAACCACATTTTCCCACCATGTTTAGAGAACACTGTGAATTCAAGAAACACTTTTTTAATCTTTAAGAAGAAGGAAAAAAAAAAGAACAACAAACCTGTAGTAACTCTTTCCATTAACTAAAAATAAGGACGTATCACTATTACGCTGAAAAAAGGAAGAGCTATCAAACTTTTCAGTAAAATTACTTATTTCCTTCTCTTTCCTTATCTGAGATTTGAGGGCCAGAAATATTATCTTCCTTTTAATTTCTTGCCCTTTACAGCCATGAAAATGTTATTTTTCACCTGACTTAATTCTGACCCACACTTACTATACCCAGGTGCATACACAATGCATTTGGTCCAACTCCGAGCTCATTAAAATGTATTCTGAAACTGAAGTACACCTGTCAATTCCAACGAGTCAGAAGTAAATGCAGGTTCATCAAGACTGACTGCACCACAGCTAGTTTAATGGCACATATTGGCTGTGATCACCATACCTGTAAGTAAAATAAGCATAAAAAGGCTGAAATATTTAAGACAGGCTTTAAAATTCATACCAACAGTAAGTAAAAACTATGCACCCTTTCTGCGGCACTTGCAGGACAGGAAGAGACCACCCAGGTTACCAAGCGTAACTCCCAGCAACAGCATGCAACCACGTAATTGCTGTTTAGTCCAGAAGTTTCCACAAAACATTCACTGCACCCACACATGCTTCAGAATAACTTGCCAACCCCCTTCGCAAAATGAAGCAAGGAAGCAGCCAACCAAGCAGTGCCCCTGAACCCTGTATCGCCCATCACAAACATTTCTACAGGAGATTTTCCCAAATTCCTACCCCAAAAGGGCATTTACCCATATACTGTTCACCTACAGAGTGAGCTCACACTTGGGAAGCTACAAGAGTCCAGCAGCCCTAGGCTGCTGCATCATCAAGCCAAACATTCCCCAAGACTTTAGTGACACGTGTAAATAACCCAACAACTTTGGCATGTCATTTCAGTTTTGTTTCTTGAAAAGATGATTGCTTCTTCACTTTAAAAGCATCCATTCAGAAATCAGACAGGCCAACACACAGCATGCTCACAGTTATCTGCTGACAGTTATTTCTCCTGAGGACTCTATTATAGCATTTACCCATTTATTGGGGGGAAAGGGGAGAAAGGGAGAGAGAGATCCACACACAGACAACAAAACACACAGATGGACTCAGGCAAACACCAGCCTTCAACCACAGTCATCAGTGGCTCTTCTATCCTTTCTCATCATGCTAGCTTCTGGAAGCAAAGCTTTACTCATTGATTAGGTACAAACTTCAAACATACAAACATAACTCTGGATTTACATGGTACATTTTTAAAGGTAAGATTACACTGCGTGGAATGTTTCTTCTGGCTACTGCATTTTGAAGAAAGCACTAAACCTTTTCTAACATACTTGTAAAATGCTATGCAAATGAAATGACTGGATTATAGTCATATTATCAATGTCAGGCCACAAAATCACATTTGGATTTACATATCCTTGTGGAGGTGAGCAATAAACATCTAATTCTACACAATTAACTAGACACGGTTAGGAATACTGACACTGCTGTCCACTTCCGAGTATCTGCTGGCAGATGCAGTACAGTGGGTCAGAACTAGCAACATGACACAGTACAGCAAATTCACTGGTCACTATTTTTACCAGTATGCATTATTATGCTCCTCTGATCATAGAACCAACAAAAGACACAAACCATGCTGGGCAGTAACACTAAGATCCTTCTTCTTACTTTTATTTCTTCCACACTGAAGCAAGTCTCATGAAACAAGAAAGTATGTCCCAATGCCACGAGTGTTCTCCACAAGGAACATTCCTTTTGACTTCAGTGCACCTATTCAAAATTTGACAAGGAAAGGCAGAAGCACAATTTGGACATAGGAGCCCAACACTTTTCAGCAAGCCACATGCTTATTTATGCACCTGTGCAAGTCAGCTCATAACACTACCCTACAACCTGGGCAGCAACAGGAAATTATTCCCAAACTGTGCCGGTGCAACTTGACTGCCCAAAACCTTGAGCAATAATACACTGGGCTCCATGAATTGATTCAACTCACCCTGCACCCATCACAGTTCATCTCTTCCATACAGAAAAAGCTGTCAGTTTGGTCAGCTCCAGCTGAACACAGGAGTACAAAGCAACAGTTCTAACCACATGCAGAAAGCATTTGAGGAAAGACTGGAAGGGTTTGGGTTTTGTTTTGTTTTTTTTTTTTTTACAGTATTCTGTGAATTAGGAATGAAACCAGAGAAGCTGGAAGGGAAATCCGCAGCTGTGAGGGGAAAGGGGAGTTTATTATTTTAAACATATGTATTAAACATAGCTAAAAAGCAGGGAGTGAGTGGTATCTGACGCCAAAGGGAAAATCCTGCCACTAAAACGTACAACCCTTGCTGTTTCAACATTATCTGAGTGTGAGAAACCTCTAGAAATAGAATCATAACAAGCATATTTTGGCATAACTTTTACGAAGGTTTTAGGTTTGCAAGTGTGGGCAGCTTTTGACTTACTTAAAACACAGCGCCTGCTTAAAAAGGAAATTATTCCAAATCACAGCTAAATCTTCCTCTAAAAAAAAAAAGAAAACAGGCTGGCATAAAAGCATCCTCCCGCTTTTATGTTAAAGTGTCAACTAAAATGTGTTGCTAAATGCTATCAGAATTTCTAACAGTACCTAGCAGCTACCAAGGAGCAGCAATCGATTTTTAATGCTTGTGTGATGCCATACAAACCATGCATTGGAGAAGGCCTTTTCACAAGGGCATGTAGTGACAGGACAAGGGGGAATGACTTTAAACTGACAGAGGGGAGTTTTAGATTGGATATTACGAATTATTTCTTCCCTGTGAGGGTGGTGAGGCCCTGGCACAGGGTGTTCACAGAAGCTGTGGCTGTCCCATCCCTGGCAGTGTTCAAGGCCAGTCTGAACAGGGCCTGGAACAACCTGGTCTAGTGGAAGGTGTCCCTGCCTGTGGCAGGGGGTTGGAACTGTGTATGTTTTATAGTCCCTTCCAACCCAAAACCG